TGGTGATTTGTTGTGGCTCAGCCACAATGTATGTGGTATTGCCATTTTTGTTTTGTTTTGGGCCATTTTGCGTAGTAAATGTGTCTGTGGATCCCACCTCACTGCACAGCGACCCGCTAACAGCAGCTTTGTGGTCTGAGCAAGCTAGCTGCTGTGTGCTAGTCAAAGTTACACAGCTTTGCCGAGCAAAATCATTCCTATAGTTTGAGCATGTTTTTTTCGCGCTTAACGTTAGCTATATCGTTACCTTCAGGGCATTTACATACCGCAGCAACACACACACTGGTGCAGAGAAGAATGGGCTTCCATTCAACTTTAACAATTAACAACTGTGCTGAGGTAACGTTGTAACTAAAGTTCCACAGAAAGCAACATGAAAAACAGCTGCAGGCATCCAACACACTACGCTTGTTACTTAGTGAGCTTCAAATGAGACCATTCAGTTTCTCTTGACTGTCTCAGTATTTCAAAATTAGTCCAACAACACCAAGTTAGCGAACCTACAAAATAAACAGTAAAACAACGTAGAACACGGCAACACTTAAAGCTTCCAAGTCTGAAGTCAGGTCCTGTACAGCCCATAGCAATCCATCCTTGAACCGTTACAGTGCTCGATACGCTTGTGGAATTTTTGAAGCCCTAATTTATTAGTTTAACAGGCACTTAAGTGTAAAGCAAGAAGTGTGAACATTGTGGTTGTTGCGGTCGACAGCCCTAGTGCACATTTTAGTGGTGTTAAGGTGTTACAATTTATCTTGTGTGGAAGATGGAGGACTATACCAAAGTTCTTGCAGTCAATCGTATAGTTCTTGAGAGATTTCACTGGAATCTAAAATTGTCATCCAACTACAGGCACTAAATGAAAAGTCAGGGGATGACCAAAGTCATTTTGATACATTGTCTGGGAACCATAAATGGCAGTACAAAAATGAGTGCCAGTCCATCCTCTAGTATGAAGTAGACACATTTACAATCTTGAGGCACTAGATCACCAATGGTCATTCGGTATTATCCTCTGGTGGCTATGAATGTCTGTACCAAATATTATGGCAATCCATACAGAGAGATTTCACTCAAAAACAAATATGTCAAGCTCATCGTGGCGTTTAATGAAAACTTTGAACTACCAAAGTCATTAGGATTCATCCACTGGGGGGACCATGAATGGCTGATGGACCAACATTGCCAGCGATAACTACACTGCTAGCGTAAAAACAAATGTGCAGAGTGCAAATATTAAATGATAAACAACAATTTTGAGGTGATCATTTTAAAGAGGTCATATTCTGCTTTGTGACTTTTTCCCTCTCCTTTATAATACCACCTCTTTAAGATAAACATTTGTTACATTTAAAGAGCAAATTCATTAGTTTATATACTTTGAATAGTTTTGTGTAGTATAAATTTCACTACAGCAGAAGTTTTCCAATGTCTGAAAAATAGGGAAAAAAGTAAAAAGGGAGAATAAAGGCTGTGCGATTGTCCATCTAGCCTTGTTCAATACCCATTTGTTGACCTGTATCTAAAAAGTGTTTGTTGAAGTGCTGCCCCTTCCTTTTTATTATTTCCTCTTTTTGTAGAGGGTTGGTATTTATTAAGCACAGTGTAGGGGAAATCGTTGACATTGACACAGAGCAGGAGGAGGAATTCTATTGAGTTACACACATGCTCACAGTAATTACATAGATGGAATTACATATCTGGAAAGGATTGGGATTCCATGCTAGGTGTCATCCAGAGACACTGGTTAAAGGATCTGAAACCAGATTAAAGCCCTGGGAGGTCAGTGTTGGGCAGATACTGGGGGAAGGACAGTAGGTAGTTGTGAATTTTAATATAAATGTAAAACAGTCGGGGAGCCACAAACGACACTGACACTTAGAGGCACATGATGCACAAGTACCTCCACATGCTTACTTCACTGTCTCAACAGACCCTTGGATTTGATTGAAGTGCTGCTTGATGCCACTGACAAACGATTTCTAAAAAAAAAAAAACACCACTATGTCTTGGATAGCATTTGTTTTTTCTGATTTTGTTTTGCAAATGACACAAGCCAGCCTGTTTCTAAACCCTGTCCTCTTTCTTATAGTAACTTGGTATCATCAGGCTTTGTAAGGATTACTCCAAGGACTAAAATGATGACGATACACAAGGGTCTAGGGATGGTAAATGTATATCGTAAAACTTCATTTAATAGCAAATCCCAAGCAGCTGCCTACTCCATTTACTGGCCTGGTGTGGGAACACATTTTGACAAATAAACGCAGGTCTCCATTAAACGCCTGGTCTAGTTTTTATAGAAGTTCTTTGGATGTATAAAACCTCTTAAACCCCGCCGGGTCGCCCGCTTTAGCTGCTTCTAAGCTGCTTAGATCGTTAATAGAAATATTAATGTTTAAAGGGATGATCAATATGTCAGTGTGGACATGCTGCACATCGTTAGATCGGTTAGATTCTCCACAATTCAATCGTTCAGTTCATTTAACGGAAACGAGCCAAAGTTAATTAATGTAGATTTACCGGTGTAACTGGCATGGTGTAAGAGATGAGAAAACAAAGGGCCGGCTCCTGTTACCTCTGAAGCGCTCGTTAAGTCCGAATGTGTCCGTTCCTTGATGATGTATTTTCCTTTAGTCTGTAAGGGTCCACCGGTCAAAAGAATCAAAGCAGCTTTTCATGAAAAATGAATCCAAGTCATAATTCCTGTCATGTGAAGTCCGTCGCTCTCTGTCTGCTAACTTCTGCCACACTTCTCTCATCCTGCACCCTGTTGTTGGGTATGTTTGTTTTCGTTACGTTGCTGCCTACAAAATAAAAGTGCATAAGCCGTCTGTCGGAGCGGGATCAAATGAATGACGCGTATTTGATATTATTTGATCGTTTTTATGCAAGTAATATTTATACTGTTTTCATAGTTGGTTCAGTTTTTTGCAAAAGGAATTAAAGGCCTGTCCCAAATATAGGCAGGGTCAATTCAGTGATTATAGCAAATAAAAGCCCGGGCTATTATTCACAGTTTTACGGTACGTTTATATGTATTTATGGGATAGTCAACCCATCACTTTTTTGATAGACTAGGGCTGAAGGATTAATCGTTTTAAAATGGAACTTGCAGCGGGCGTTCAGCCTGCCCCACATTGTTGACGTGTTGTTAATTTGTCTTTTTGTGTGCTTCAACTGCAGATAACAGCTCTCTGTGAGCCCGGTCCGTTCCGTTCTGTGCAGGCTATATATCTCACATGGAGCATTTCAGAATCAGAGCATTTTGCTGACTTGTTCTAATTTTGTTAATTTGTTAGGCTGTCCTTGATTTTTGTGCTTCTACCATGGTTAAGTAGGCTGCATAGTTAGATTGTTGTTGTTTTTTTTGTCTGTTTTAATATTTGGTCAGAATTCAAGACATTTCTTTATTTGCTTAGTAAACTTTCCCTGCAACATCAGCAAGTAGAATTGTCACTGTGAGCATGTTAGAATTTAGATCAAATAACCGCTTTGAGCCTATACAACCTCACACAGCATGGTTGCAGACTCTTAGTCTTGTTCTTCAGATATATACAACTCAGTTCCCATTTATTATTTAGAAATTATTACCCTTTTTTCTTACGTTACATATCCCTAAAGATTTCCCTATTCTCTATTAAAATACATTGGGGTTTTTTATTGTGCTGTCATCTTCATTTCTAAGTGGACATTTCTGAAACACTTCTTTCTGGACTTCACCTGGCAACCAGTGTAGCCACCACTGGGAAGTGCTTTTCCTTGGATATTCTGTTAAAGTCCTGTTTTTTTCTTTTTCGTTAATGCACTGTGTAGTTAACATTACTCATACTGACTACCCACTTCTTAATTTGCATCCAAAGAACCTCACTATTGCTGCCACTTGCTGTATAATATTAGCTAGTAAATATCCATCCAACACCAGAAGTTGATAACAACAAATAATGATAATATGTTTATCATCTTTCAAGAGCAGACGTCACCAAGTGCTTCACAAAAAACAACAGAAAAGCAAATAAGAGACCGAACTACGGACATTAAAAGCAGGCAACCAACTAAAAACAAAAGGCAAAACAAATTAAACAAAATCAAGTCTGTCTGTCAAGTCTGGGATCGCTGTTACACGCTTTTTAATGGACTGACAAAGTACAGGGAATACAGGCTCAGATTTTGATCCATTAATCTGGGACAATATCCACACTTTTTATACCTGGTTACCAAATGATTTGCATAAATATGCACCCTTTTCCAGCGGTCTCGGTGCAGTTGTTTGTCCACACCAGTGTTCAATTGACAGTTTTCACAGCAGCCCAAACTAACCGCACTAACCCAGCAAACATACCAGGGTTTGTTTGATAGACCCAAAAAGGTTTGGTGTGAAAGCATTCTTACTCACGGCTTCCTCCTACATTATGGCTGTGGCCCATTTTGGGAAGAGACCAACCTACACCCTGGAGGTGCTTTTCACGCTTCAGGGGTGCCCTTAGCTTGTCATCTGTCTTTTTATCCATTGCTAGTAATCTGATCATTTTCAGTATCACCTTTCACAAGGTTGCTACCTCCAGTACCATTTATCTATTACGATTCAACAACACTGGCTTGCTCCACAATCACTATAATCTCAAAGCAATCTGCAGTTTTTCTTCCCTCATCGTTGAAAGCTGAACGCCTTAAGACAAACACTTTTGTAATGTTTTCATGAGCTTGGTTATGGAATTATTTCTTAATACAGAATACAAAGTTGGTTTTAGTTGTGTTGTTGTTGGCAATGGTAGAACACAGCATTCTCATTCAACACTGAATCAGAGATGTTTGAGATCTTATTGGATTGTGGTTTTAAAATCCCTTACTGGGTCTTCTGTTCGGTCTCTCTTCCAGTTTGTATTTTCAGTATTGTTTTAAGAATTTCAAAGTTCTAAGATGTTCAGAAAAAAAAACACTTCCTTTTCTTCCTCTATCTTTTGAGCATCTAACACTGGATCATTCTTGTCCCTTTGCAGTTCTGGATATGGCACGCCATGTGCCCCTATATCGGGCACTACTGGAGCTACTGAGGGCCATTTCCACCTGCACGGCCCTAGTTCCTCTGCTGCTGCCTCTCTCCGGAGACCCAGGGCAGGACGAGGAGGAAGAGGATGAAGAACATTCTGAGGGACAGACCTCTGTTGGGATGCTGCTGGCCAAGATGAAGACCTGCGTGGACACATACACCAATCGCCTTAGGTGAGATTTAGAAAATCCATATAGCTTAATGGTGGTCAATTTATTTTCTCTCTTATTTAAATCTTAAATATAGAACCCAAATGTTACACTGTACTTAAGGCTGGGCAATAAAACAATAATGATACAGTTGTTCTACCTCAGATTTGTGTAGTGATCCACTGTTTGGCATCAAGTGTTTGTTCTGACCATAGAGAATAGTTTAAAACCACAATTAACTAAAAAAATCTGGTTTCTTCAACTTTCACTCAGGAGCAAACATCAGCCTTTAAACTTTAATGAAATAATGATTTGACATTTATCCTGATAATTATTTAATAATTAGTTATCAATTTTTTTTATTGTGATAACATTTTTGACCATATCGCCCAGCCCTAATAGTACTTAAAGGTGTATAGTCAAACATACATATAATAATCTTTTGAGCTAGAACTGACTTCATACATTAGGAGTTATGTCTAATTTAATACTTTGATCTAGCCATGAACTCACTTACAGACCTCATTCACTCTTCTCTTCTCTGCAATACTGCTGAACTGGGAATTTTTACATCTATAGCCCTGTTCAAACTTGGCATTAAAATGCACCTGGGTGATGTGAATGTACCCCAAGAGGCATTGAGGACGCATTGAGATTCAGTCACTAAGCTGCTTCTGGAGATGGCCAGGGAAACATGTACAGTGTTTTATTATGGCAGGAAAATGCTTTAGTCTCTCCAGAGAAATCCACAGTGTTCAGATGAGTGAGTTCATGGCCCTCACTGACTGATCCTGTTAGCTCTTTGACAACACATACATACACGCATACACACTGTACACATACATGTCAAAGTCAGGGTTTTCATGCCTTCTTAAGTCTTCAAAGGTCTTAAAATTAAATTAAGATGGTTTTCAGTGGTGTATAAAGACCTTCCATAATAATAATGAGCCATTTCCCTCTACAAACACCGCGGGTCCCCTTACATGGAAGTTGCCATGTTTCTTCTAGTTAAACTTAATTAAAAATTGTATTTCTAATTTTACTTTACTTTTACTTATAGGTAGTTTGACAGCCCTATCTATTGAGCCTTGATGTAAAATTTACATTTCAAGTTAGATGTGTTTGACAGAAGAACAGCTCTGCATTTCCTTTCCTTCAGTGGTGTCTGACACTACTTAATGCCCTTTATCAACCCTGATCCTGTTGCAGACTAGCTCAGGGCATCGCTAGTTAATACATGTAATGAGTCAATATAGTATATGATAACGCATTACCAATCTCTGGAACACAAGGGCATTCTCCTGATGTGTTTTGATGATATTAGGCTTGTTCAGAGCATGAAATGCCTGCAGATATCACATCCCAGGTTTATAGCACGCGCACACACACACACACAGGAACACTGAGGCGTAGAAAACCTTGAACACACACTTGTACTTGATCTCACATGCTGAAGCTTTAATGGAAGATTGCCTGAGGGCAAATGGCCAGTCAGGGAGACTGATCATGTGGGATTGTCTCAGCCAGTCTAGAACCTTCAATGTGTAATATAATCCCCAAAGAGTGCTACAGTGTCCTTTGGAAACTTAAAGGGAAAACAGTTTACCTTTTTAAATAATCCAAGTAAAATCCAAGTTATCAAACAGCACCCAGTATTATATTATGGCTGAATATATTTATGTGTGTTCCAGGTCAAAGAAAGATAAGAGTAAAGGTGTTGTGAAGACAGATCCCTCAGATCCAGAGCCTGAGGGTTTGACTCTGCTGGTTCCTGACATCCAGAGGACAGCTGAGATAGTCTACGCTGCTACTACCAGCCTACGGCAGGCCAACCAGGGTATGTATACAAGACACACACACGTCTTTATTGCCAAACAATGTTGATTTGCATCATAGCCTGAAGACTATAATTTAACAGTGATACATATTTATATCAGTATATTTGAACACAACACAAACCCAGTTTCATGTAAAATGTGTTTTGAGTTTGGGTTTTTAAATCAGAAATGTGAAGCTTTAACATTCAAACAAAAACAAGTCTACTTTTTCTGTCACCAGTTGGCTGGCATCCAGTATTTTCATTTCCCTTTTCTTAACTAGATCTGAATGATTTGAGCAGATCCTAGCTCTCCTGTATCTCTCTCACCATTTTTCTCTCACACCCTCATCTGTTGTCTGTGTCGTACCAATTTGGTACAAGGACAAGAAAATGGGTCTCCAAGTTTAGCTGACCAAAAAGTCTGAATTCCCCCAGCTGTGATTGAGTGCAGCCTGACAATTTAATCTTAATGAAGGATGCTGTTGGCCTGTTCTTGAAAGTTGAACTTGACCAAACAGTCTCAAGATACAGGTCAAACTCAACCACTAAATCTTCCTCTAATGTAGTTGGTATGTAGAATGGACTTTCTAATCCAGAGGTCTTGTCATGTTTAAAGTGCAAATGTCTTTGCTTGTTTTGTACATGGAGAAATAAAGAAAGAGAGGAAATTCTTCTAGCCTTTAGTCAACTTTAGAAAGCATGATGGAACATTAAACCTACCCCATTACCTTGTTGCTACACAGCACACAATACTAATTATCCCCCACTTAGGGTAGTGAATGCTTTTACATGTGGTGGAAGTGTGTGTGTGTGTGTGTGTGTGTGTGTGTGGGATACGGGGTACAGATGAAGATCAATGGCACGTCACTTAACATAAAGTAATCCATCTGAGAAGGCCTCAGGAATCACACACAGTTGTGAGGTGTGGAGCTTGCAAAAGGAGGGCTTTGACAGATATATAATGTACTTTATTTACAGAAAATTCTGTGGTGGCATGGTCCGTCATGTGACGCGCAGCTGTAAAAAGTTGGATACATTTTAATAAACTTGAGGGGCTGCTTAAAGGGATTTTCTATTTTATTTTAATTATCAATCCTTCAGGCTTATCCAGGGTAGTCCCAGAATAAAAACATAGATCTGTAAATGAGCAGAAATATCCTTTAATGCCAGGTGTAAACAGGGCCCAAGTTCTAAGAATATATTCATATACACCTCTTCACCTACAGTGGAGAAATCTAAAAAAAATAAATAAATAATAACATCTACTGGGGTCCAAGCCCCCCTGCACCTGCCGCGCCCCTTGTCTTGCAGAGGCCACGTGAGTCGACCCGGGCGCCCTGCCGTGGCTTTGGAGGCCCGTGGTGAATAAACGACGAGAGTTTGAAATTAAAGGGACTAGTGACTACGGAGATATAAAATGAATGTATGTCTATGGGAGTGTTATTTGACATACGATTAATAGCGCCACCTAGAGGTCAATTGACACCAAATTTCATCGGCCATTCCTAAGATATTTCCTCTACAAACTTTTCTCAGCTTGGTCCAGAGATTGTCCGTGCCAAGTTTGGTAGCGATTAGACTTGCAGCTTCGGAGGAGTTAATAGGTTTTTCAGTTTTTGCGATTTTGGGTGGGCGGGGGTTATTATAGGCAGGAATGGGCGTGGCCTATACCACGAGATACAGTTCGATCCCACGAACGCGTGGATATAGAATTATTTATATGCGCCTACGTATCCGAGAGTTCCAAGCCCAAATGCGTTGACCTTGCTTATAGCGCTCCCTAGACGTGGAAGCGTGGAAATTTTTGCGCCTGAGGTCATTGATGGGACCTGGACCTACCCTATGAGTTTTGTGTCTGTAGCAGTTACCATCTAGGCTGCAGAGTTTTTCTTTACAGAAGAAAAAAACCCGAATATGATTACAATAGGGTTCCCAGCTCTGCTGGTACTGGAAAACACGATGACTTACATTAGTGGGTTCCCAGCCCCACTCGGGCTTGGACTCCTAATAAAACTAGCAACAAAATCTTCAGAGTTTGATTATCCAGGTGGGACAAATAAACCATCTTTATGATATTAGTTGTTAGAATGTGCTATATCAGTCATGCCATATTGATGACCATTTCCTCTACTATAAGTTACAAACCACTGTATTTGGCTTTGTGTTGAGAGTAGAGCATGTAGACAGGGGCGGCTGTCACTCAGGAGGTAGAGCGGGTTGCCCGTTGATCGGAAGGTCGGCGGTTCAATCCTCGGCTCCTCCAGGCTGCATGTCAAAGTGTCCTTGGGCAAGATGCTGAACCCCAAATTGCCCCTGGTGGCTGTTCCGCCAGTGTATGAATGTGTGTGAATGGTGAATGCGATGTAGTGGTTGAAAAGACTAGAAAGGCGCTATACGAATACGGAGCATTTACATTTAGATAGCAGCAGCCTCTGTCATATGGTACAGGTTGTTAGTCGGTTCAAATTACGCTGGTAGCAGTGGTAACCACTTGCTCTCTGAAAGTACCTTTCATTTTTATAGCTCTGGCCACCATTAGGTTATAACAGTGCAATTCATTACAAATTGCTGATGTGTGGGAGTACACCAACAGTTATCAGCTACAACAAAATGCAAGAACCTCTAGCAGTCAGACAGGTTGTAAAAATAGTTCAACCAGATTATCTAAACCACTTTATTTGGACGTAATACCTAAAGTGAACACACCCAGACAAGAAAATAGTGTGCTGCACAACTACGGTATAGTTCATGCTAGAAGTCGAACTGTAAGCTACGATGGATGTTTACCATGCCTAGTTTGAATTTGTTTTTTTATTTTATTTAGACGTGTACTTGAGAAAAACGTGTTGTATAAAAGCAATTTTACATCAGCTCTAGTTAAGATTGTTTTGTTGTATTTGTTTCCACCAGCCTTTCTGTAGTGCTTCTTTATTGCATGCCTGTATCTGCGTGTGATTAGTACAACCGGTTGCATGCTGAGGTGACTTTTCTGATGAATAGCCCTGTGGCAGGCTGGCCTTGCAGGATTTACAGAAGGGAAGATGTTCTGAAGCTGATTTTTTATTCTCATCTTCATGATTTTTGCTCCCACCCCAAACCCCCCACCTCCTTACCAGAGAGGAAGCTGGTGGAGTCCTCAAGGAAGGCATCAAGTCGTCCCAAGCCCCTGTCCATTCTACGCTCTCTAGAGGAAAAATACGTAGCTGCCATGAAGAAGCTGCAGTTTGGTGAGTTTACCGGTTTGCTTTGGGATTCGTGCATGTACACATTTACACATGGGTGCTGATAATGCTTTGGAGCATCAGTTGGCCTGTTGGTTTCACTGCACACAGCATGTCATCAAAAACAACACCATAATTCAATTCCTCTACAGACTTACTCCCTTTCCCAGTCACACACTCTCCTGTCCGCATCTCCTGGCTGATATGATCCATAATGCCCAGATGCCAGAGCTCTGAAAGGGAAGCAGACTTGGGCCACGTTCCTGTCCTGCTCATCCCTATTCTCTTGCCCATCACTCTGCATTCAGCCATGTCATGATTAATTACACTGGTCTTGCTGTGTTGTAATTTGTTTTGTAAGCAGCTTGATGTCTTGTCATAATTGTAAGTGACTTGACTGTAAACACTGTTGTTACAGACAGAATAGAAATAGAAAACTCAAGGCAGAGTGAGGGCTAGACTATGACAACACTTTTAATTGGATCAGTGCATTCACAGTACTGGGGATGTGTGTTTTTTTTGTGAAGGTGATAAAGACGTTGTTGGACATGTTGGAGGCTGCATGCTTAGTTAGATGGAACTGATGAGTTGGTTCCTCTCTTTTCATTTCAGAAATGGCTCAATGAAATAAGTCAGCCAATAAGTTAACTGAAATATGGGCTCATAGACCATCTAAAAGAAAATTTAACTGTAAATGTTTAGAATGTGTATAATGGCTCAATCTGTGCTGGACAACATACTAAAAGATACCGTATATATCAATTCATTTTCATAACTAATGATATTATTTACGGCAACTAATATTATTTGCTCTAACTGGATAATCAAATTGAGAATGGATACTTTTCTATACAGGACAGTCACACTCTGGTCTCCTCTCTTTCCAGACACCTTTGAAATGGTCTCAGAGGACGAGGATGGAAAAGTGATGTTCAAAGTCAACTACCACTACATGTCTCAGGTGAAGAATGCTAGTGATACAAACAGTGCAGCACGATCCCGCCGCCTTGCCCAGGAGGCCGTCACCTTGTCCACCTCTTTGCCCTTGTCATCCTCCTCCAGTGTCTTTGTCCGCTGTGATGAGGAGAGGCTGGACATCATGAAGGTAAAGAACTACTTCAACTTCTTATCAGCTATGTTAGGCCGGGCACCGAAGTACGATTGTTGTGGTGTGAAACCACGCAACTGTCATTCCTAATTAGTTTTGATGACCGATGTGTACATTTTGTAGTAAAATGTGTTGATGTTATTATCATGAAAGTGACATAGTACTGTGTGGTATGTATTGGGTTGTACCCTGTGGTTAATGGAAACTCTAGAACTGAGTAATGCTGATGGAACACTTGTGTATGTTGTGTACTTTGTTTCTGCGTCTGCTGTTTTTGACGACTTGTCATCGACAGCTCTTACTCATTCCCCCAGTGACATTTAATAAATGGCTCTCTTCCCACAAGTTTATTAATGGCAAAGCCTCCTTTGCTAAATGTCAAAGTCCTCATCTGTTTAGCTTGATTTCGGCAAAGCAACTCTGTAAAGAAAGGCAGAAGCATACCAGCAACAAAGTCAGAAGCAAAATAGAAACCCATGACCACATCACTGCATACAAACATCAGTGTAGTAACAGCGTATATATGACAAAACCTTTAGGCAGCTGAGGTAATAGTGTTTTCATGTATTTCGAAGTTTTAACAAGGAACTTGAAGCACAAAAGATTATCATTTTACCACAAAGCAGAACAACCATAATATATTTTAGACTAGCTGTGGTATAAAAGAAAAGATCTTTGCCCACAGCCAACAGTCCTGTCACAGCAGTGCACTGTTTTGTTATGTAAATACGTTCTTACAAACATACCAAAATTAACTTTTTCCCCAAGAATAACATGGCCTAAGGAGCATCAGCAAAAAGGGACTGTGGCTGGTGAAGTGGAAATCTCATCCTTGTACTTCACCTCTGCATCCCAGGCCTCCACTCACATATGCCCCTTAAAATAGATATGTGCAAACCGGAAATATTATTGGGCCCGGTCGCTCTGTGGGCCGCTTGAGCGCAACCCATTATACAAAAAAAGAGGGAGAGAGATGTGTCGTTGGTCCACTTTGATTATGCTCCAGCCCACATCCTCCTCCTCTAGATCCTCAATACCAGTTCTGTTAGTCTACTACAGCTGAATCTGGAAGAGAGAAGACAATAGGGATAAGATAAGTACGGTTTAGGTGCGGCTGCAATCAGTGCCTTTTCTTGAAACATGTTCAACTTTTCAAAAACCGATGCGCTCGTCAATGTCACTTTCTGTGAACCGACCAATCACAGCCTGGAATGGGGTAGGACATTAAAAAAGGTCTGCATCCTTACATTAGTACCAAAACAGCCCAGTCCTGTCACAGTGGCACAGTTGGTTTCAGTCTTGAAATTATTCCACACCAGAGTTTACCCTACTAGATATGTAGAAATGAAAAGTCTTTTGGGTGAGGTAAAAGGTGAAGTTGAGGTGGAGCTCCCTGAAAACACATCTTCTCCATACCAAAAGAAATGGGAAGCTGTCCCAGTTAACAGTTTTTTAAGTGCTTGTGTTTCTTTGATTAATGAGCTGATCTCATTTAGTGAGGAAATAAATAGTTTTTGCTACAAATGCCATGTGGACTGCAGATAGAGCTGGTCTCTTTCTCTCTGCTAATTTCACCCTTTGGCCTTGTGGTTAATTACATTGTTGTGGCTGTAGAAAAGCCTGAAAGAGTGTCTGCACCATTTTGCCATTTGCCCTTTGTTTAATCCATATTTACTATACTATCTATGTATCCACCTTTCTTTAATTAACCCTCGTTCAGTGTGTGATGAATCACTACCCTTTCTCGGGCTGTTTGTATAAGCTTATTACCTCTGTTTGTTTACAGGTTCTCATCACAGGCCCAGCAGACACCCCGTACGCCAACGGCTGCTTTGAGTTTGATGTGTATTTTCCCCAGGACTATCCCAACTCACCTCCACTAGTCAACCTGGAGACCACCGGCGGACACAGTGTGCGCTTTAACCCTAACCTCTACAATGATGGCAAAGTAAGGGCTTCAGTCAAATAAATGTAAATATAATGGAGGATTTGTAGTTTTTTTTAAGCCATTAACCCTGATTGACAAAACAAAAATCACACCCCTCTTCTGATAACACGGCCCAGGGCAGAGCGCCCCAGGCTTCAGAGGCAGCTGTGACAATGTCAAAGCCGGATGAGAGGCTAGTGCACAACTGCCCCCCTTCAAAAGTGATTCCCCACTATTTATCATGATGCCTCTGCCGCTCGTTGATTCGTGTTCAATGGCACCGGACATAATGAGCCCAAAGCTCCGTGCGCGTACACACATGTTTTGTACTATTTACTGTAGGTGGCAAAGGAGGGATGGGCAGTTCTTTTATTGCTGCTGGATGTTTCTCAGACATTGTGTTTGCAAAACCTCTGACACCGAGATCATATTAAGCTTAACTGAGTGAGGGCATGCTGGAGAGGGGGGCTGCACAGCATGTGCACAAGCAGTGATTGACACTGTGTTAGAGACTACTCCGCGCTCTAATTGGTTGTTTTGTTCAGGGAACGGTAGATTCTTGTGTGTAAATGGCATTAGGAGTAGTAGGAGGAGCACGAAGAACCAGATTTTGTTTCAGATTATCTGTTTCATGGACATGACATGTCATTAAAATTTTTATTTTTATAAAAGTTACCTACTGAACCCTTCATGATGTTTCATGAAGGGAGGATTTATTATTTATACCCAAGTATAGAAATGACTATCCATGAATTCTCAGTTTTTCTATCATTGTTTATGCCCAGCTCTGATAATATTTTAATACTTACTTTAATACTTTATTATTCATGTCTGCTGCCCATCAAAGCCAGTGATTAGTCTTGAGTTTCTCCAACTTGTGCACTCTTTTAATCTGACTCAGTCTTACTGGCCCTACACATGAACATGGCCACACACACTCGATCTAGTTTTATCATTAGGTTTTCCTGTTCAACGATACCAGTCTATCTGATCACAAACCAGTGATTTTTAATGCATCACTCCCCTACCCATGTCCTGTAGCTAATTTACTAGATCACTATACCCGGGCACTCAACCATACCACTGCTAGGCAATTTTCTGATGCCTTCATAGCATCTCCTTATACTAGGTTTGTGGATAAACTCCTCCTTGAGCACAGAAGAGCTAGACACCCTACTTAATAACATTTTCACCGATATTTTGGACACAGTTGCCCCCACTTAAACTTAAGCAACCAAAAATGAAAACACAACCATGGCGAAATAGTGAGACTCGTGCCCTGAGACAAGAGTGCAAGAAAGCAGAGAGAAAGTGTAAAAAAGATAAGCTACAGGTATCCTATGAAATATTGAAAGACTGCCTAGCTTCACACCAATGCTTGGTCAAAACATCCAAAGCAAAGTATTTCTCAAACATCATCTCTAAAAACGCACACAGCCCCTTGTTTAATGTAATATACACTGCACTAGGCCACTTTACGGTGCTCCCTTATGCTAAGTTTCTTTATCAACAAGGTTGACATTATTAGATCCTCCATTTCACCTACTGATTGACCCGCCTGAGCTGGTTCCACGTCTCTGTCACTTTGAGCCTGTGGCTCTATTAATACTGAAGGATATAGTCTCCCACATGAAACCTACTTCTGTCCCCACAGACTTTGTTCCTTCGCATCGATTGAAAGAGGTGTTAGATACTGTTGGCCCCAGTTTATTATCAGTAATAAATAGCACACTCTTGTCCCGTCCAGCTAAACATGCTGTGGTCCAGCCTTTTATTAAAAAACCCAATCTAGCCCTTGCTGATTTTAATAATTTCAGGCCCATTTCTAAATTATCTTTTATCTCCAAATCAAATACGGAGTACCCCAAGGTTCAGTCCTGGGACCAATTCTGTTCTCTTGTATATGCTCCCTTTGGGCTCCATTCTCTGTAGACACAACATATCCTATCACTGTAATGCTGATGATACTGTATCGTTAAAACCAAGTGACGTTAATTCTTTGCAATCCATCTTTGACTGTTTCAATGATATTAAGTGCTGGATGGTCAAAAACTTTCTCCAACTTCATGAGAATAAGATGGAGTTAATCCTATTTGGCACCCCCCTCCCTCAATTGATGAGCTGTCCAAAAAATTGGGTCCTTTATCCAAAAACATGCACACCTCTGCAAGAAAGTTTGACTCTGCTTTTTGGACAATAGACAAACAAATTACTTCTGTTGTCAAAGGTAGCTTTTTCCACTTGAGGACTATCGCAAAACTCAAATCCTTTCTCTCATTTGAGGACTTGGAGACTTGGAGAGGTTATACATGCACTGATATCGTCCCGAATTGACTATTGCAATTCTTTGTACTCCAGCGTTGGTCAGTCATTATTATCTCGGTTCCAGTTTTTTCAAAATGCGGCTGATGGATTACTGACTGGTACAAGGAAGAGGGACCACATCTCTCCAATACTACCTCTCTTCTTTGGTTACCAGTCAAAAAATTGAGTCGATTTTAAGGTTCTTTTAATTGTTTAATTGTCCAGGCCCCTTAGATTGTCAAACCAGCTCCTTTTAGCTATTCCACAGGCTCGCCTGATAACAAAGGGTGATCATGCTTTTTCGGTAGTGGCCCTAAAGTTGTGCAATAAACTTTTTTTATTAGATCATCCCCAACCACGGAGACCTTTAACTCTCGTCTGAAAACGCTTTTTTTATTCTTTGGCGTTCGAGCCAGTCTAGGGACATTCATCATTAACTGTCCTGGTTTCTTCATATATCTATTTATTGCTACATGCTTCATCTCTGTTGTATGTTTTACTGCCATTGTATGCTCCCTTTTTTTTATTGTATAACTTTGTAGAGCACTTTGTTAAACAGTGGTTGTTTTTAAATGTGCTTTATAAAGAAATTGACTTGACTCTATTGCAACTACATATTGATTTAGGTAAGCTAATTATATGGGCCACACCTGAAGATAAGACATCCCAAGGTGTTTTGCCCTGGGTGTTCTAGTCTCGCTGTATGTCCTATGTCTAGCAACAATGCAGTGGCTGTGTTAGGCTCAATCTCATTTTGCCGAGATAGATTTCTTAATCGTTTTTTGTTTTTCTGTTTATGTTTAAACAGGTATGTTTAAGTATCCTCAACACATGGCATGGGAGACCAGAGGAGAAATGGAACCCACAGACCTCAAGCTTTTTACAGGTGAGGTGTAGATCCATTATGACAGTCACCTGTCTGAATGGATCAGCAGGGCTGTTGTGAGTCTTTGTATTGCAGACAATAGTTTATCACTGTCATTACACCGCCCAGGGCTCTGTATTAATGGGCTTAGTGTTTCGACAGATGACATGAAGGATCCTTTTTAAAGTCATCAAAAGTTATTACTTTGCTTTGGTGACAGTGTGTGGGTGTTAATCAAACCAAACACAAACCAGTATCATTTGAACCTCCAGGTTATTCCTGTGTTCACACATCACTCATCTTGAAGTCAGAATCAGTTGGCTTCAATTGCACATTTAGCTCTAATGCCACCGGTTTTTATCTTTTATGTAGTTGACTGTTATCACTTTTATTCTGAAAATCATTAGTTTGTATTCTGGTCCCTGATAACATTTCTGAATCTTACTTTGTTTCTTTTAATTCATTTTCTGTGAAATGTGCATTTTTATGATAAGCCTGACACACTGAACACTCAATCACACGTATGCCCCAAATCTTCTGAAAAAGTTGTTTACCATTTAGCAATTTTACTGTCTGCTGGTAAGTTTAGAAGTTGTTTTTTTTGTTGTTGGTTTGTTTTACACCAGAAGCATATATTTCCATACACTGTGTTTCTGCTGGGAATGAGCTGAGTTGTTGTAGAGCTACAATAGATTTTTTTTCAAATGTTATTTATGTCTATGGGAACATGTTTGCTTATCAAGATTTTTGTGTGTCTGTTTTCCTTATCCAAAGTCTTGAGGGTTTGGACAATAGACAGTGTATAGCATTAAGGGACTTCTATGCATCTTAAATGGTGCACAGGCTTATTGGATAAACACAAACGTTCTTGAACACAGCATGTATACACACACGCGTGCCATTATTTGGTTGTTTGCCTGCACACACCTGATTTAATTTTCTATATACATTGATCCAACAACAAGCAAGCCAGAGCCCTTAGAAAGTGATCCCCCCTCCTTTTTTTAAATAATTCCCTCATTTGCAGGGTTCGGAGAGTACATAGAGATGTCTTCACTGATTATCATTCCAGTTAGTGTGCTGCAGATCAATAATGGAAAATAAGTGGGCTGGTGAATAGGAGACAGGGGGAGTAGGCTGGGATCAAGCGGTCATCAACCAGGGTGGATATCAGTTCTGAATTCCCAACAACCCAGTTTAAGACAGACAGATCGTATCAGTTGAAGGTCATTCGTATCCACTTGATGGTGCATTTTCAAGTGCACATCATCCGGCTCCAGTATGGCTGTGGCCAGCAGGCATGCCTCCAAGCCCAAGATCGTCATTGTTGGTAATGTAGTGGCTTGGAATGAACAGAATGATGCAGGAGGACGTCCTTAGTCTCCTTGAGACAGGCCAAGGCTTTAATCGAGCTGTTAATAAAGATATATTGAAGGATATATTTTTATGGGGCCAAAATATTTCTTGCTTTTGTCAGATTCTCTTCTAAGTGGCCCCCGCTGCCAAGATCATTTTAGGAGGCTTTTGGGTGTTGAGGACACTGAGGGGATGTTGGGGTAATTTACCAATACATCATGATTATACCTTAGTAGTTGGGCACATTAATTGTATTAGAATGTGTTTTTTATCCCAGCTCTTGTGGAAAACAGACCAATTTACCTTTTGTATAATTGAAGTGCTCAGAGTTCACAATAGAATGTTGTAGCTGAACCACAGTGGGAACCCTGAATATTTTCATGACATAATTCCATTTCTCCCTGCCTCTTATTTAACTTGTCATCTGCTGTAGGTGCTAGTGTCTGTGCAGTCCCTCATTCTGGTGGCTGAGCCCTACTTCAATGAGCCAGGGTATGAACGCTCCCGCGGGACCCCCAGTGGCACGCAGAGCTCTCGGGAATACGATGGGAACATCCGGCAGGCCTCTGTCAAATGGGCTATGCTTGAGCAGATGCGTAACCCCTCCCCATGCTTCAAAGAGGTAGGAGTCATTATATTGCAAGGTGTGTTTTTGTGTTTAAAACGATGCTCTGATACTCAATACTTTTCAGGTGCCATTGTTGATTCACCGAGGCACAAGCCCAGCACAGGTCCAATAGCTAACAAAACATGTGGACAAAACATGTGGACAAAACATGCAAACTGGCTCACTGGCTGGATTTATAATTATCATGCATCCCTATTCATTGCTATGTAGTTTGTGGAACAACTTAAACTCAGTGCAGGATGTCTTTTGGGCACTGCACTTTAAATGCATCCAAAAACTTAGCAAATAAATTTTTACAATATAAATGTGGAATTTGTTGATCAGGAGAGTAAAGGAGTATGCTATTCTGCAGAGTGGTGTGTATGTTTAAGATGAAACCAGACAAGGTAAAAGTTATCAGTAAATCATACAATGGACACAAAAATGGCCTGGACCCAGCCAGAATATGTCATTACCCTTGCTGGGTTGGGCTGAGCTACAGAAGTATGAACACCTATCTTCACTACAAGCTAGTACGTGAACCCTTAATTCTGTTCACTGCGTTTGGTCATTTGCATAGACGGTCATTTATTTTCATTATTATTTACTAGATTTTTGTTTTCACAAGGTTTATCTTCGCTCTTCCACTCTCAGTCAAAAATCCCATGGAGTACAGAATTATCCCAATGATAATGGCTACATAGCTCTGCCCTTCTTGACATGTTTCTACTTATCTCAGTCCCGAAACGAAAATAGGAAAGAAAATCCCTGAGGGTTGTTTGGGTATGCTCTCTGATAATAAATTCCCCCCCTTATTAATTCCTTGGTAGATGACATCGTCTGGAGGTTGGCCTATCCCCACCCCACCCCCCCGCCTCACAGTTTTTGATTTCTTGTGATCCTTTAAATGGTCCGTAGTGAGATGGATAGTGCCAGGCAAGATAACAATCTTTCAACCTACTCATCCAGAGCAGGCTCATTCAGAAATGTCAAGAAAGAGGAACGGAGGAAGAGGAGTGCTTTGGAGGAAAATGAGAGGGGGGGCGTTGTGGTGGGGGTTGGGTGATGAACAGAGGGAGAGAAAAGTGATCCAGTCACTCCAACAGGATTACATGAGAAAAACATTACCTGTACAGACATATGGAAATGCGTAGGTTTCTGAAGGGACAGCTGGGATTTGGGTTTAATGCTCCTTTGAGTTGAATCTAAATTAGGATTTGAGCGATTTTGAACAATTTGAGGAAAATACGTAATTTTATTGTACACATACTGTACCTTTCCATTTTCTATAAATTTCAAATTATTTACATTACTCTGTGTTTGTGTGTGTGTGTGTGTGTGTGTGTGTGTGTATATATTATATACATACACACACCTTGGAAACCTCTTGTATTCCTTTAATGTATCTACACACAATTGACCCTTCACTAAGCCACGCCCCGAATACGCAGCTGGCCAATCACAGCGCAGTATAGGTCTCGCTCTGACAGAACCGACACTTTCATGGCTGCGCTCCGTTGACTCGTGTGCCGTTTTCTAGCTTTTTATTGCTTTATTTTTCCACGATATGGTCAAACGCTGTTCCTGGGGCACTTGTAATATTTACAATCGCTTTACAGAGAGGATGAAAGGAGAAGTTCGATTTATTCCCTTTCCATAACCTAAAACAAATCCAGAAAATGTAGGCTGTCGATTGTTTCTAATGTAATGTTAGTTAGCTAACGTTTCCTACTGAATGTAATGTTAAATAACCCTACTGTTTTTGCTTTTTAATGATTGTAATAGTGAATAGAGACCTACCCAGCTGTACAGGAACAGTGTTGATCCACAGTGTTAATCCCTAATATCGTTGTCCTCTTTCTCATTAGTCAGGTGATGCAGTTAGTCAGGTGGTTCACTTTTACTCTGATTAATAGGCTTTAGCTTCTCTCTTTCATTTTTCAATACAATCTTCAAATTTATAATGTAACTGCAAAACTGTGTGCTTCTTTCTGAGGTCGCTTTTTCCAAAAATGATACAATATTTCTCCAGGGAGTGCAGTAACAGTGGCAGCGCCGTGATAAAAGTCCCGACAGGTCCAACAGTTTGTCGGACTTAGCAACTAAGGGGGGCGTGGCTTAGCGAAGGGTCATTTTGGAAAGACTAGAAGCTTTGAGTTTGGTGATTCGTCACAGTGCATGTCACGCCTGCCAACGCATTTCTTAGTACAGTTTAATTTAAGAAATTAAATTTTGAAAAGCAAAACCAGATGCACTGTGCACTTTTTTAAGCATTTGTTCAGCGTAAGTTGGATTATTATTATTAGTAGATATTATTCTCTCCCTGTATACTTGTATTCCTGTGGAATATGAAGGTGAAATATAAGTTTATCTGGCCCTTTGCACAGCAGGTGATGCTGGGTCCATGACATCACCTCAGCCAGTCAGTGAAGTGGACCGTTGGACCGAGAAATATTGAGGGGACATAGTAGGACTTGGCAATGCCACTCGGCTGAGCAATCTCACACATACGCACACAGAAATTCCATTAAGTCTGGTGAGATACTCCCATGTGCTTTTCTCACCACTTGCCTTTTAGCGCCTTTAATTCCTTGGCTGTGACAAACATCGACACAAAGGGGAAAACAACCAGCCCTGAACAAAATGGATTAATGCCTCGTGCAGACTGCATGACTTTAAGTGTCGGCCGATCGCCGTGCTATTCAGACTACACAACTTGCCGTCTTGTGACGGGATCTTGAAGTCTTTGTGGCGTTCACAATACATGACTGATCGGTGACAGGGGGTCACACACTACATGACCTATCATCAATGTCTGATATTTTCATTCAGCACTAGGCCTCCATGCTTGCAGCTATAAATGTTTCGTTCTAGCAAGAATCAATTAGTCTTGTCTTTGAGGCACACACAAGCAACCCCCTTCCACCCCACCGGGGGGGGGGAGTAAGCTCCCCCAAAACCTCTGGTACAGTTTGCACACTGGATACAAGTATTATTTAACTTTCCTCTAGCTTGCAACTTGAAATGTGGCGCATGTGAGGGAGCGCAACGCTTGTGCACCGGAGGAAAGGGGGCACCGGAGCTCCACCCCTTTATAACCGATCTGCAGGAAGGGGCATCCCTCCTGAGTAGAGACTTCGCTGGCTGGAGGGACACACACACACATGGCGGGATGACCTAGGCACTAATTTGGATTCCTCCGTTTGAAAAGAGAGTAAACCAACTGCATCCCACCCGTGTTTAAACATGTATTTAGGCTATACAAACAGTCCATTCACTAAATAACGCTGGTGATGAGTTAAAAGAAATAGGACTTGTTGTAAATGACATAATAGTGTTATATTTCTATAATGTGTTTTTACAAGCAGCGCATCACATCCACACGCGGATGCACAGCGTTTGGCTCGAAAAGGCAACAAACATGTGATAACAATAGGCTACATGATACTATGCTCTCCTGTTTGCTCGACTGACACACTGAAAACGGCATCAATGTAATTTGGCCTCCTGTTCACTACACTACTACACTACACTAAAACACACACTCAGACACTGATGGCGGCGGAGCTGCTATGCAAGGCACTGGCCCATGAGGAGCAACTTTTAGGTTCAGTGTCTTGCTCAAGGACACATGGACATGAGGATTATTCTTTATCGCACTTACATAGCTGTGACTGGTTGACTGTTTCTGCAACCAGCATAAACAGTCATCAGTGAGCACACCAGACCGATTTGCATCATTTAACATTTAGAGAGATGGGCTGTGATTCAGAGGTCAGAACTCAGCTGCAAATAGCTTACATTATGTAATATATCCAGTCAAATATAGCAGTGTCTGTCATTCACCATAAACTCTGTGAAGTCAACAGCTTTTTTGCTCATAGACTCATGTCTTCCCACGGCGATGGGTGTTTTCCAAAGTGCTGAAGGCCTTTCGGACAGTACAGAGATAAACAGCTCAAGCAAACTGTCAGGCAGTAGACTGCTAATGAGAACGACATGCACGACTTGTTGAACATGCAGTATTTTGGCTTACATCTGCTGTCCTTGTTGCTGAAGATGCAGCAATGTCTGCTGACGTGGTGGGCCCCCCTGCAGCTCAACTGAGTCCGAAGCTGTCAAGTCTCTAACTTGCCTAAGCACTCCCTGCCACTCTCCCGTGACACAATCTTCTCACTGACCCTTCTTAATGGTCGAAGATGGATATGTACCACATCTGTAGGGCTCCGTTCTTTGGCTCACAGTATTGTTTCTGTTAGGAAACCCAGCACGTCATGGTTTCTACTACTGTGGCTCCAGGTCTTTGGAGTTTTCCAGAATGACTGAAAATCGATTGCTCAGCCTGTCCTAGAAGATGCCCTCCATATGAACCATCTGGCCTCTGTCTGATTTTGCTGTACAGCTTCATCAGAAGCCTCCATACCAACCTTTGCTGTTGCAGCTGGTCTCTCACTCTTGATGAATAACAGCAGGCTCTTAGCTGGAAACAGCTCCACTATTTTCTAGTCCTTTCACAGAGTTTTTGCTTTTATCCATCATGTTGACCTCATTTCGAATACTGCTGCAACTTTATCAAAGAAAATATGTTATGAAGTTGTTGTAATGCCAGGGTTTCTCCTAAAAACAAACATAGTAGTCCATTTTCTACACTTTATTTGGTCGTTTTTGAAAATTGCCTGTTTTTTCTAATCTACTATAAATTTCAAATGTAGCAATAGTATAACTCCAAGGCTAGCAGTTTGTGATGAACTGACCAGCAAGGATCTGATAGCCCCTCTAGCACAGAAATAGCCAACCATGTGCCACGGAGAGTCAGTAGTGTGCAGGCTGTCAGTACATGTGATCGCCCAGCAGGTGAATTCACTGATAAGTTTTAATCTTTTACATAAAGAAGTACTGATCAGTTGGTAGAGTCCTTGGTATGAAAACCTACAGACTGTTGGGTCTCCAGGGCACACTGTTTCCACCCCTGTTGTCACGTCAGCCAAATTTGCAGAGTACAATTATGGCCTCCAGATGATAAACTCTGAACTTAAAGGAGGGAGAGCTAGAGAATAGTTTACAGCAGTGGTTGGCAATAGGCGGCTTGTGGGCCAAAGCTGGCCCGCCAGTAATAATATCTGGCCTGTGGCCAGGTTACCTAGATAGATAAATTAATAACAAATCAATAACGTGGGGCAGGCAGCCCGCCCGCTTGTCGGCTGTTCCAGTAGACTTTGATGCAGGGCTGAGGACGGTTCGAAAACGTGGCACAGTCGTAACACTCCGTCGCCGGAGTCAATGGATTCAAGTCATCAGACAGCCATTTCCTTTGGAATTACATTTTCTCAACCACAGAACTTCTGTATTCCTGTGGATAAGCGCAACTTGTACAGGGCTGCACACTGTATAACGCTGCCAGAGATGAACTGTTTGGGTCAGGCGGTTTATGGATGCGACAGATTGAAAGTAAATTAAAATAAGTGACCATGACTATGATGAAATACTGTTTCATATACAGAAGAACTTTTGCAGACACTGAACAGAGGAACGTAGAGAAACTTTTCTTTACTGGTTCTGTGGTAGGTTTCATTTATCAGTAGGTAGTTAGCACTATCTTACCTGATGTTTGGGTAGTAGCAGAAGGCTTTGGGTTTACGTTACTGGTGTTGCAGCTTTGGATCATGGGAGCTTGTGCTGTGGACGTTGGAGATGGAAATATTTATGCTCAGTGTCACAGTGGGTCAGAGAAGTGGTCATGGTTAGTAGGGCAGGTACCTGAGGCCTCAGCATACTGCTAATGGAACACAGAAAACTAAGAATAAGGAACTTTTTAATGAAGGTGTGACTCATTCTCACCCCTGACCCACATCCATTCCTCGGCTTTTTGACCTACCTCGATTGCTCTGTGGAATCATGAGTGGACTGCAGGTCACTGAGTTTATCTAGTAGCCTGGGCTCTCTATCTGAGAACTCTCTCTGCACATATGAGCTGAATGTACTTGTGGACATTTCTCTGTGTACGTGTGTGTCTATTTCTTGAAAGGTCATTTGTCAAGATGCCCTAATCTAATGTTTGCTTCATGATCAGAGATGGTTTGCATATAGAGCTTCCCCTCCATGTTGTGATCAGTGGCCATGTCCAAATACTAAAGGTTAAACTGCTACCGGCCTTACCACATGGAGCCCCAGCACGTCTGAACATGTTCATATACGTATAATGTCAGGCAAATGCTTCTGTCTTTGTTTCTTATCATGAGTTGCACACAGATTCTGTTGCTCGATTCCTGTACCTCGTCTCGCCCTCCAGCAAGCCCGAGCAGCAGCTGATCTCCCGGAGTTTACCACACTTCTGTGACCTTGAAACATTGCCTTTCAGCTGGGGACCTGGCCCACCTCACTGAATGTATCTTAAGCAGCTGAGGAAGTTGGGGGTTGGGTTGGAGGATCAAAAGACAGAGAAAGAGATAAGAAGTAGCGACAAAGATGGAATGAAGACGGAGGGAAATGTAGCAGGAAGAGGGAGATTAAACCGACCCATAAACCCTTTCTGCTGCCACTTTGCCTCTCCTCTCCTGGTTTAACAGCAAATCAGCAGCCACCATAATAACTAATCCACTCCCTGTACCAGCACAGCAGCAGCGGCACACCCACTACAGCACTCACTGCATACTGATGGCTCGGCCCTGGTGACTGTTGCTAGGAAGTCGACTGGAGGGGCAGGAAAGCAGGGGATTTGGGTGTAGATGATTGACATCTGCTATCAAGCAGAGGGTCATACATATGATGTCAGAGTGTGACTTAAGAGAAGATGATAATGAACAGCCCCTCAGTAGTGTTTGATGGAGAGAGATGTTGATCTCACTGGAAAAGAGGAATTTGTATACTGTATATGGCATATGCTTCATTAGATACGTAGCAGAGGCAGTCAGAAAATACTCTTCTGTCAAAGAATGGCCAAATAATCAGTAAGGTTCCTACACAGTTGTTTCTAAACAGATAAAAATGTGGATTATTATCTGCCCACATTTGAGCATTTTGAAATTAAAATACCTGTGATAACATGGAGCTTTGGTGGGGTTTAAATGAGATAGATTGGTGAAAGTGCATAATGTGGAGGAACAAGACCGCAGTGGCGTGGTATCATTTTTGAAATCTTTACATCAAACACACCATACAGAGAGAACAAGTTGCGATGGTACAGTACTGCTTTACTGAGAAATTGGACTATGGCGTATCCTGACAAGTTGACGTGGTCCTGACAGCACACGTGGACAGGCTTCCAGAGCACACAGTGGTACATAGTGGCAGGTTTAATTATTGGCAAACATCAAAGATATTTAGTAATATTAACATTTTGGCCTGATGATGGCACTTGATTAAAAGTCAGATAGACCATCAGGAGACCATGTACGTCTGAACCATCATGACAATCCTGTCAATGGTTGTTGAGATATTTCAGTCTGGACCAACATCATAAGAAATGTCAGGGGATCGTCAAAGTCATTAGGATTTATCATCTGGGAACAGAATACCTGATCCAAAACGTTGGTCTGCTGCTAGTGCTAGAGGAAAGTCGGTAGAATTTATTCTCTGAGCACCATGGATATCTGTACCCAATTTCATTGCAGTCTACACTATCTAATTGTATAAATGCTATCCATAATGCATAATAACGAAACGTGAATAAAATGAGCTGTAAGTAAATAAACTATACTTTAGAGACAGAAAGAGACTCTGTAGCATTACACAAACACACAACACAAGTACTAACACTAACAAGGAAAGGTACACCCTTTAAACATGTGCATGTATACAGTGTGCAAATTGCTGTAAGGTGTGCATAACATTTGAATTGCACGTTGAGTCCAGTAGGACCTCAGCAGCCTCCCAGTCCACTGATGTCAACATTGCAACAGAGTAAAAGAGTCTGATGGACACTGGCGGGAAGGATGTACGGGATAGAAGGATTCCTTTGTTCTGCTGCCTCCTGGTTTAACACTGTTGTGTCATTTGTTTGCAGGTGATCCACAAACACTTCTACCTGAAGCGAACAGAGATTATGTCTCAGTGTGAGGAGTGGATTGCTGACATCCAGCAGTACAGCAGCGACAAGAGAGTCGGCCGCACCATGTCCCATCATGCTGCTGCACTAAAGGTAATGTCATTAAATGTACAGTCAGTATTAATGGGCCCTCGCATTTCCACTTGCTTTCTTTTGTGTGAATATCTTGCACGTAAAGTCACACTTTACTATCCTGGATGAACCCAGGTTTAGCAGGTTACTTCAGTGCATGTAAGCACAGTTTGTGTTTGGCCCCTCGTTTCCTTCTGATAAACAAACACTGAATTGGTTTCAGGGGACAGCGGGCATTCCTAGATAAAGACTTAAACACAATAACAAACACCCACCAACTGTGAGTGTCTCCAGTGTCTCTGGCAGTAAATGCACACAGTTAACTGTATATAATCTAGCTCTACTGATCAGAGGTCTGAGCACAGCCAGCTGTTGTCCCACAGCTGCAGGCCACTGAAGACAGGACTCTGGATTCTTGTCATTTAGCCTCCATGTTTGAAAGTAAAAGGATGTTTCTTTATCCTCATTCTGCTTACACCGGCTGACCACACACTGTAGTTTATTTTGAATAAATCCCATATACACTGTGGTGCTGCTGGAAACACCGACTGGAGCACCAAATGTGTGCATTAATGGTTAGAAAGTATTTAGAGCCTGACTAACGCATTGTTGGTTTTGGTCTTTTGATGGGATTTGTTGAAAATATGGATTAACACCAGACTTCTCCATTGTGTTCTCCCTGCAGAGACACACAGCTCAGCTCAGAGAGGAACTTCTGAAGCTCCCCTGCCCCGAAGGTCTGGAGCCCGACGGCGACGAGTTCTCAGAGAGGAGCACTGCCCTCATCCTCAAAGAGCTGCCCAGTCAGGACGCAGAGAAGCCGTGTGGCAGTCAGGACAGCCACAGCAGCGAGGGCCAGCTATGAGTCCCTGCCCCTCACCCCACTCCCCTCCCAGCATCTCCACCCCTCCTCCTTATGATAATTACTCTCAAAAAGACTTGATGGCTTCAGAGCACAAGCCTCCACTTTGTCAATATTTGTATGTAAAGATCTAATAGCAACATAGCAGAGAACGAAGTGACGCGGGGAACCAGAACGCAATGAGATGAACTCTGAACTATGCTACACCCTTATTGAAAACAGTTGACAAAAACTTTTATTTACCTGTAAAAGAGTGTAAACATTTTGTGCTTTTTTCCAATTGTGAAATAACCACTGATTGGTATGTTATTAAACTTGTTTATGTATACATAATGGCAGAGGAAAATTACAGATTATATAAGGGAAACTACCTTTAGAGAAGAATGTTTACTGAATGTTAATTTCCTTTTTTTTTTGGACTGTTAGAGGGAGAACAGCTGTAACCAAGGATATATTGGTCATTCTTTAAGGATACTATTTAAAACAATGAGAGAAAAAGAATACACACAGATTACAGAATCTGAGATAAAAAGCCCCTCTGATCATCCGCTGCTTCATTTCCTTTCTCTAGGATCATATCCACTTCAATAAAGGCTGAGATGGACATTCTTAAATGCTATGTTATCCCTTTTACAGGCTCTAAATTAAAAAGCTCCATGCTCTGGATCAACATTTGTTGCCTCTAAGAACTTCTCCATGACCGTTTTCCATTAACGTGACTGTAGATCATAAGACTGTGTCAGAGCAACATGGGAAATGTATTTTGAAGGCTTGTGCATGTGTATGTGTGTTTTCTGTGCGTGTGCAACAATCCCCAGTGAGATACAAAGCTGTGATGTGCCTTTGATCTACACCATACCACCAAATACTCCAACAGAGTACCTTTACTGATTTCTTTGCTATTTCTACAAAATTAATAATTCTGCTCCGTCTGACATAAAAACTGCTTTGATCTTTTTTTATTATGTTGAACTCCAGTGAACAAAAATGCACTTTCTATTTTACTCACTCCTTAGAACAGTCACATACTCCTTTTGCTAGGACATTAAATGGAGCTTGAAAGTATGGTTTGATTGTGCGAATGCTTCTTTTAGCCGTCACCTCAGTGCGAAAGCGAGAGAGGAAGTCCTGATGAGACAGTGACACCTGAGCAAAGCTTTCACTTAGAAAAATAATGACGTGTCACTGTGAGAAAGGGACTGCAACATTTAATACTTTGATTGTTGGTCAAGGGATTGAAGGAAAAAACACGTAATTTGTCATTTTCCATGCATTCTACTTTTAAGTAAATTTTTGGGTTTATTTGTAGTTTTTTTAATGCTATTGTAGTAAGAAGGTTACAATTTTATTTTCCGAATGTCCAACCCCAGAAAAAATGCCTGAACTTGTGAAATTCAGCTGTTCGTTTTAAAGTATTTCTTTTTCTGTAACATCAAATATTCATGACTAAAGCAAACATGAATATAAAAGTAAAAAATCTTAGTCTGTAGCCGAACTAAAAATTTTGCAGGTACTTGGTCATAAACCTATAAAAGTGTTGAAAATTTGACCTGATGGAGTCCTTCCTGAGGGGAATAGGAAAGTTTGTACCAAATTTCTAGTAAGCCATCCAACATAGACTGAACTTAGAGATGGACGAGCCAGAATATCATCCCTGATATGTGTAATATGTTTGTTTATATTTGGAAAACGGGCTGTAGCCTAATTAACATGACTTACTGCCAACTTACATATAAAATGAATTCAATTTTGCAATTATCCTTATGACTCTGGATTATTTTACTTGATTTACCAATCCACTCTTTTTTACCTGTTAAAATACAACCCATAAAATGCAGTAGGCTATTTCACTTGCCAGAAAGTGATTGAAGAGACTGGGCAATACAGCTCCAGCAGACGGCACATCAGTTTTCGGCGGACGATCACTTTTAGGCACGACAAACTCTGAGCTTATAGGAAGGCTACATTTATTAAGCCCGACGGGACAAAATGCCAGTGGCAATCGGCTACCTGATTATGAAAATATATAGATAATATATAACATATATATAATATAAGACAAGTTTACTCATGAACCTGTGATTGTAAAGTCAGTCACACCCAGCAGGTTAGACTATTAATTATTTTTTTGCAGCAGAAAATGTGTGCGTCTATTTTACATTAATAAAATCTTGCTCATTTCATATTTTAATACTGTCAAAACACATTCAGACTATCTGCAGCTAATAATGAAAAACTCACTTTTAAACTACATTTAGGCCTATTTGTTTCAGCTGCACCTCAGTCATCCTCACTCAGAAATATTCCCACCATCTCCAACATAACTACGATAGGAATGTTCCAGTCAGTGCAACTACAATATGAAAGATTACCGTTCATTGATCAGTTTTATAGGTTACATGTTAAACAGTGATTACTGCAGTAGCCTAATGTAGCTCACAGTAAGTGTTTTCAGTGCAACTGTCACAGTGTTCTACCTAAACACGGACATAGATTTTATTCTGTGCTGAGGATAAATCCTCGATGTGCGGAGATCTGTCCTTACATCCATGACAGATTGATCATAAAAGTGGTCATGTTTGGGTGAAAAACTAATAGCCTATCTAACCGGGATTTTAAAGTTTTTAAAGATGTAAATGCGTTCAGATATGTGCTTTGATAGACAGAATGAATGAGGAAATGAAACTGTGTGTCAGACAGCCGCCTCAGGCTCTGCAGGAGGGGAGGAGTCAGAGAGAAACTGACCGTTTTCCAACTAATCCTGTTAGGTTCAAAGCATCAGTTGCCAGAGTTACTGATCTGAGGTTTATCTGATCTCGCTCTCTGAAATGGAAAACTCAGAGTTTCCCTCATCTCAGGCTTAACATACTTAACACAAATAGCTAATCAGCCAGTCACATGGCAGCAACTCAATGCATTAAGGCATGTAGACGTAGTCAAGACAACTTGCTGAAGTTCAAACTGAGCACCAGAATGGGGAAGAAAGGGGATTTAAGTGAATTTGAAGGTGGTATGGTTGTTGGTGCCAGACGAGCTGGTTTGAGTATTTCAGAAACTGCTGATCTACTGGGATTTTCATGCACAACCATCTCTAGGGTTTACAGAGAAGGGTCCAAGAAAGGGAAAACATCCAGTGAGCGGCAGTTGTGTGGATGAAAATGCCTTGTTGATGTCAGAGGGGAATGGGCGGACTGGTTCGAGATGACAGAAAGGCAACGGTACCTCAAATAACCACTTGTTACAACCAAGGTATGCAGAATACCATCTCTGAACGCACAACACGTGGAACCTTGAAGCAGATGGGCTACAGGAGCAGAAGGCCACACCAGGGGCCACTCCTGTCAGCTAAGAACAGGAAACTGAGGCTACAGTTCACACAGGCTCACCAAAACTGGACAATAGAAGATTGGGAAAATGTTACCTGACATAAACGACATGAAAGCATGGATCCGTCCTGCCTTGTATCAGCGGTTCAGACTGCTGCTGGTGGTGTAATAGTGTGGGGGATATTTTCTTGGCAAACTTTGGGCCACTTATCATCAGTTGAGCATTGTTTAAACGCAACAGCCTCCCTGAGTTTTGTTGCTGACCATGTCCATCCCTTTATGACCACAGTGTACCATCTTCTGATGGCTGCTTCCAGCAGGATAATGCACCATGTCACAAAGCTCAAATCATCTCAAACTGGTTTCTTGAACATGACCATGAGTTCACTGAACTCCAGTGGCCTCCACAGTCACCAGATCTCAATCCAATAAAGCCCCTTTGGGATGTGATGGAAAGGGAGATTGGCATTATGGGTGTGCAGCCGACAAACCAGCAGCAACTGCGTGACGCTATCATGTCAATATGGACCAAAGTCTCTGAGGAATGTGTAGTGAACAAGCCAGTGTGTGTTTGATTATTTTATATCAAAAATAAATTGGGAGATCCCAAAGGATCTGGGGGGGGATATCCACCCTCAACAGACAGCCGAAGTACCCCAAAGGAGGGGGTGAAAGGCATGCTCCACTCCCAAGTGCTGCTTGGGCAGTTTCAGCCATAAAACCTACCACCTCCGGTAATGTAGAGATAACAGACTCAGCATGACTATTAAAATGACAATATTAACGTTACACAGAGACTAACCTCAACCTGAACCAGGCTTTGAGGACCTAAGTGACCATAAAGGTGTCACCCCGACACTTCCCAGAGACTAATTTCAGCCGAAACCAGCCTATCAGAACCCTTTTGAATAAAGGTCAAGAGACGCTAACTGCACCCACACAGGGTAGCCATGGCTACCGTGCCCCCCTTTACTAATTATTCCAAACATCAAAAATCACCTTCCTCAGTCTTGACTCTCTACCCCACCAAAGAGCCATTAACATCTTGTGTAACTGAGTAAATTTGCTGTCCCCTCAAAATAACACATCACACAGCCATTAATCTGTCTAAATCGCTGGCAACAAAAGTGACACAAGCAACACATTTTTGTAGTAGAATACATGCTGTTTTTACATTCTGACTTAAAAGCACATAAACACACCGAAGTCGGAAGAACAACACTGATGCCTGCACCAAAAATGTATCTCCTATGACTAAAAGTGACGGGACCATTTCAGAAGCATTTCAACTGGGAAGAACTCTGTAAGTGGTCCTGTCTGACTCTGACACACAGTTTATAATTTGACAACACTATTTTACTGGTTAACGTAACTCGAGCACATTACATGAATACTGCAATTTGATGCTCCTTTATAATAATAATAATAATAGTAATAATACATTTTCCTCGCGACTTGACCCCGGATAATCGGATGAAGATGGATGGATGGATAATAAATTTTGTTTGTAATGCACTTTACATTTGAAGCAAATCACAAAGTGCTACAATTAAGATCATAAAAGCAATCAACATCAATATAAAATACAAATAGATAATGCAACAACTTTCAGGGTTAATTAAAACTCATACTTTCTGCTAAAAAGAAATGTTTTAGGTCCTTTTTTAAAAGTCTCAGTAGTCTGAGGAGTGGCAGAACAGAAAGCTCGATTACCCGTGGTGCTGAGCTTAGTCCTGGGGGGAAGGAGGCGGTTTGAGTTTGTTGAACGGAGGGTGTTGTAGTTAGAGGGGTGGGTAGTTCTTTCAGGTAGCAGGGGGCATTTCCATAGATGCACTGGTGGGTGAGAAGGGAGACCTTGTATTCAATCCTAGCAGAAACAGGAAGCCTAAACGAGGTTTTCCAAAAAACGATAACTAACTAAAACTAAAATGAATGTCATAGTTTTCGTTTATTTATCTCCACGTGAAGAGCTAGCACGCTGGTCAGGGCGGCTTCTAGCCGCAGCGTAGCAGGTGGCGACCGCTGTTACGAGGAGAGCCCCATGTAACGTTAGGGGGAGGCTAACATAGCCGTGTTTCTATTGTCTTATTATCTTATCTATTGATTTCTATTATCTTTTATACATACATGTATACAAAATGATATGAATGCAACTACTGTATAGAGTTGTGTTTTGTTTAGTTTGGGCTGCAGGTAACTTAGTGAGTCACTGTCTTGGTGGTTTTCTTTTCCTTTTGTTGTGTTTCGTTCTGATGGTCTGGCTTAGCATCCTGCGTGTGGGATAAAATTGCCCCTTGCCCACTGACTGTGAGTTCCCCTTGCACTGGGTTAATATGTCTGCTGGTCATTATATTTACATTACATTACATTTACTCATTTGGCAGACGCTTTTGTCCAAAGTGACTTACATTTGAGGAACAACATACAAGCATCAACAGAGCATCAAATACAGCATGAGATCTACATACTAGTAAGAGCAATAAATACTCCATCCATCCATCGTCAACCGTTTATCCTGAGTACAGGGTCGCGGGGGCAATAAATACTAGTAAAAGCTAATAGCACATTTTGCATCAATGGGGTAAATACCTAGGGAAAGGAGTTAACAAAAAAAGTGCGATCAATACAAGATAATTGTAAAGGGATAGAAGGAGAAGAGCACAAGAAGTGCATGTTAGAGGTTAGGAGCGGTGTAATAAGAGGAAGTTTTCTCAGAAGAGATGAGTTTTCAAGAGCTTC